ATGTATCTATTGGTCTATTTATTTCATGAACACTTTGAAACACTTTCTTGAATGGTAGTAATCGAGTAAAATTGAGGTTGAGCGGCTGACTGAGGATTTTCTCCATTCATTTCCAAAGTATTCAACAACTTTTACTAAATTTGATATCCTTTTCTTGATTTTAATAGAATAGGTGTTCCGCGCTTCCTAATGGTTATATCTTAGAAAATTAAGATACGTTGCATCACGTGTTGTCTGCCAACTGTGCCTAAATTAGTGTTCATTTTCGCTAATTTTATAGCATGCCCGCATTCCTCGCACTCGGTCATTCTTTTCATTCCTCCATTAAAAGCATGACTGAAAGCTCAGACAATCCTTTTGGATAAATAAAATAGATGTATAGAATAAATAGGTGTCTTGAGGGAGCCCCATTTAATCGAGTATTTCAATCAATGTAACGCAGGTTTCTGTTAATTTTGCCTGGATGATTACTCGAACGATAGTGCTCCTTTGAGCTGTCGGTAAATTTCTCAGAACCCAGTCTAATATATCTTCTTTTTCCCACTTGCTGGCTGGTTAGTATTGCTTGCATTGATCTATTCTCTTTGAAATTTGCATAACAGCTGTCAAAATGTCCCAATAATTGTAGATGCTCTAATATATATGCATGTTTTAAATACCATTTTTATAATATAATGAATTCTTCCTTTCAAAACTACTGCATTGCGACCTCCCTTGTGATCTACGATGTAACTACAGACCGAGATCCTTCTTTATTGCCCACTGAGTCTGCGTCAACAGCAGCTATACGCCCGTCTGCGAGATAAGATCTGTCTCGAGGAATTGACAATTGCAGTAAATAGCAACAGTATTAACTACCATGTTCCCAATTCCGCTGGAGCTGCTTCCTTCTGCATCGAAAGATCTGCTGGTAATCCTAATACTATAATTACAGGCGCCGGGCTGGCTCCTGGTATAAATAATGGTATCGGAGCCTGCTCCGCTACAATCAGCTCTGGTGCGACAGACACGGACGCCTCAACTTCTTGCTCCTTTCTTACAACTCCTGGATCAACTAGCCTTACCACTGGGGAGGCCACTAGTCAAGCCTCTGGTGCTCTTAGTTCAAATGTCAACTCCAATCCCAGCACAACAGCTCGTCTCATCAATTTGGTAATGCAGTTGCGCAAAGTATGTAACCATCCTGACCTACTCGACAGACGCGACGTGCGACACACCTGCGTGACTGGTCGTTTGGCGCCCTTTGGGGCCTATATTTCTTCGTCTCCACCGGTACCGTCGTGGATAGTAGAGCCTTCTTTCCCATCCATCTTCGATACAACTTCGCGGCTTCTTAGAAAAAGCCGATCGTCAAGCCGGCGAAAGACACAACTTCCTTTAGCCTGGAGGCTGCCTAGGCTGTTCTATGATGATGGTATTGTTTATTTTTACTAACTTGTTTTCGTTCAAATGCTTTTGTATAAAGAGCCAATTATTTTTCGTTTATAAGTAGCTTTTCGAGACCAATATGTCATATATATATATATAAGATTTACTTAGGTGATGAAGGCCTGGAAGTTGAATTTGTATGACAATGATATGAATATGACTTATGCTTCCAACCCTACATGTGAGAAGGCCATGCCTTCCTTGAGATTAACCTCTGCCCTGTATCCCATAGGCACTTGTGCCAGTGTGATGTGATCAGCGTGTCAAGTTTATGCGCTACACTACTACGCTTCGAGTCTTATAGGGGTGCTGGTGAGACCTAGACGAGGTCTAAACTCGCTCCTGTCTGGATAAGAATACCTTTTTGGGAAGCAAGGCTATGTTAAATTCAATGAAATTCTTATCATTGTAAGAAAAATTCAATTAGCAGTCCTTCATCACCTTAAATAAATTAGGTTAAATACATCTTGTTTAAAGGAACAATTAATTTAGGTTTAGGCTTATTTTACAACCCATTACTTATAGGTAAACATAAGCCTATATAAGAAAAGTTATAAAATAAGCCACCAAATAGTAAAAAAATTGTTAATTAATTGAATATCATACCCTTCAGAATTCATTCAGAATAAAACGCAAATCCATCAGAGGTCTGAAAATGGTCCTTCCTTCGCATTTTCCTTCTTTCTTGGTCTTATTGGCAGAAAACTTTCCCATAATAAAGTCTTGGTTTCATCGAAGGTATAAAGATAAAGATGGTGTGGCATTTTGTGTGGTCGCAGTCTCCTTTCCGTTGTATAGAAGTTGTTTGATCTTGTTTTCGCAACTTGGTCACATTGGGAGGAA